ATGGTAGGATTCTTGGTCGTCTCTTGCCTGGATAACAGATGAGGGAAGGCTGTCTTTCCCACAGAAGGTGGTGCAGTACATGTTTGGGTAGCTATTCATCATGGTGGTGAAACTAATCTTTATATTCTCCAGGGAAACGCCAATGGCGCCTCTTAGAAGCATCACATGGAGACAATATTTCTGCAATATGCTAGGGCAAGATTTGGCAATAACTTTGTGTTCAGGATGAAAATGCTACTTCCCACATTGTGCGTATTTTACAGGATTATCTCGACCAGGAGGACGTTACAAGATTTACATGACCAGCAAAATTTCCACATTGTAATCCCATTAAGAACTGTTTGGCAGAACTGAGTCGAACAACTGCTAACCACGACCATAAACCAGCGACTATAGCTGAGTTGCAGTACCTTTTAGTGACAAGTGGGGAGGAAATAACGGTGGATTACATCAGTAACCTCATCGACAGCATGCCACATCGCCATGCGGAGCAGGCCTAACCAAGTATTGAACGTTTATTACGAACTGATATAAGGTTACAGGCGCTCTTTATTATAATTTGATGTTATATTATGTCATTATATATGTTTTGGTAAGAATGTGTTGTGTTAGGTGAAATGCGGAATTACACATCTTTCTACAGGTGTCTGATAAAATTGTTTGTTGTTCTAATAAATCGTTCATGATGTGCATAGAACCTGTCTCATTATACAAATTACATATTTAGACATTTAATAGCATGCATTTCCCAGTTTCACAATGCTATGTGTATTTGTATTCCATCTTAATAATAATGATCTTACTTGTTACAAAATATGCAAACTTTTTGGCCAAGACTGTATTTACTTCATAAACTCAAACAAGTATAACCGAAGAAACGAAACATGATGAAGAATATATACATTTAACAGGCAATAGCGTAGCCACGTTATTTTTGAAAGATATACTTAAACAATTTTAATGAATGGTATATGAGCATACTGGTACGCACCCCAATAATATTTCAAGTTAATATTAGTAACACTTTACTGGAGTACGTCTCGCTACTTTACGTGATGCATATGCATACAATACAAATCTGAGTTTGATAATTTTTTTACGATTGTAAATACACATAAGAAAACTAAGTAGCAAAAGAAAGTACAACATAATTAATTCTGCTCCAACAATAAACATCTCGCTTATGTTGGTTTCCCATTCTTCAGTAGTTCAACATAACTTGAATTAAAATTATAACTTTCACCAATTGTAGCTTTACAAATTTTTGATATCTGATTTGGATTATGTCGAATGCTACAGTAGTTGTTATGAAATATGATTCATATTAAACGCCATTGATCAAGCATTTGAGGCTAGAAAGTACGATGAACAGCAATGAAAGTATTATAAATAACGTTTTTCATGTTTCATGCTTAAATGCCTAGAATCTATTTCAAGTAAAATGTATTTTTACATTACAATTACTTATCCTCAAGTTTTCATATTAAACTAAGCAAAAAATTTAACTTCTTAAAGCGTTACAGATATGAACTATTTCTATTGGTCTTCAAGATCAAGCAATTTAGAGACTGTGTTTTAAGTTTTCAGTCATATCGGAGCCCTTTTCACAGTAGCAGTAGCGACTCTTTTCTTTGTGTTTCCTGGTAGTTTTTCGAATACAACAGTAAATTAATTCCACTGAGTTTTACTTGGATGGGTAATTGCGAGAATATTTCTTAAGTTGAAATAAAACTAGGCTCTCTATTTCGTTTTATTTTTCTATATTTAAAGAATTATTAGATAGAAAATATTATGTCAGGTAATATAATTAGAATCAATAGAATAAAAATCACGTTTAATTATTTTGCATGTTGTTTTCTTATGTTTATCTTGACGTCCCGTTTCACACCCACTATGTTCCCAACCATATTGACAACTAATAGTATTTTTATTTTTATTTACGCTTTACGTTTAAGTTTATTACAAATCAGGCCTCTTATTTATTGCAATTACCATTATATTACAATATATTTTCATGAAGGATGTTTCCACGTTTCAAGAGTGTAAGAATATTTTGAGTAAAGCAACAGAAAGTTTCGTTAAGAAAATTACATCCTTTAAGTTTCACACTAAGCTAACTTACTCTTGCAAGTTAGAATGTGGCAAACAATGAGATTATTCATTCCTCAAAGTAAGGAACTAGCTCTCTATTTATCTAGTAATTACGAAAGAAACATTTCCGGTCCTGAAGTTTAGTCTTTCTATTTTAATCAATATTTGATATTAGATAGTTTGGTTAACACGCACGTTCCCCATTCAAACGAATATATATATTACACACGTGTGTTACTTTATCTTATGTACCTTTGTCTAGCGTAATGGATACACGAAACAATGTTTTTCTCGCAAGTGACGTTTTCAACATCACGTTACGAATAACTTACCCGTTTCACTGTAGTTTTCCCTTGACACTAGGGTGATGTATTTGGAATTTACTTGTGACCATGGATACCACGGGATGCTGGTTTTCTGGGGCACATGACCAGATTGCAGGGGTAATAACATCGGTGGTCGGATGATGGCGTGAAGATGAGGGTCAAAGAATAATTGGGTCATGGAGCTGTCGGAGATGATATCATGTTTAGGAAGATAAGGGACCACTCGTTTTTTAGGTTCAGTTCGATTTAGTATGCTACTTATGGAAAAAGAATTTTTTGAAATAGGTAGGGCAGACTTGGGAGGATCAACAGCTTTCATTATTCTATCATTTCCTTCTGGATCTAGGGCTGAAAGTTTTCGATTATTTTCCTCTTGATCCATTTCCGTCCACACGTTGCTACTACTTCTAGTACTTAATTTTACTATACGAATTAATTTCTTGTAAGATTTAAAAAAATGCAATATCGAATCATAACTATGTACGATTATATGATTTAAATTCTAAATCACTGGCAAAATATAAAAATCGAATGTCCGGTTAAGACATCAGGGATTGGGTGAAGAAAAACAAGGAGTGAAATAAGCTACATGGACATTACAGTCCAGCCTTGATTTCACTGTAGGTCTTGCTTGTATGGCGTCAATATTTGATACGATGGACACCCACCGTTTCACAATGTTGCCCGGTTTGGTTTACGCTTAAACCAGCTCGTGATTAAGTTACTGAGAGCAGTTGATGGCTAGCTGGTCTGGCTCCTGACAGAAGCTCAACTCGCGTGCTGTGGCGCACTCGATTGGCTACTTACAATGGGTTGCTGAACGGTCTGAATGGTGCTGAAGGATCAAACCACGCCTCTCATATTACAAGTCCAGGGACAAGGAACAGCTCAACTGCCGGTCGGTTAGGGTTGAGTGGATCATAGTAATCCTTTGTTTGTGTGTACTCAATAGTAATTACTTTAGCTTGATTTTTATTTGAATGAGTGGAAGTTCCTGGGAGTCTATCAGTGGTTTTCCACATCCTTCGTAAGTGGAACTTTTTTGGCATTTAAATATTTTTTGGACATTGTATGCAGCTTTTTTAGTACATTAAAAGCCCTCTAGTGCCAAACTTTCAATAGTTAAAGAATAAAATTTATGTTTTAGAAATTTAATTTGATATAAATTAAAATTTATTATACATTATTCTTCATTATTTTGAAATGTTGATACACAGATTAAAACCAAAATCTAACTCCATAAAATTCACGAAAGCATCCATCGATAAAATAATCAGGAATGTGTGCAGTATCTATGTGTTATGTGTTTTCTACATATTATAATGTGTCTTCTCTGTGTTAAGTATTGCTTGTAGAACCGAACTAGGAATTCACACAAGTTCATTGATAAGTTACTTTATAAAGTTTGCAATTTCTTAATCATATGTTTATAGATTACTATTGCTATAAATTCTCATGTGATTCCTTTTTTAAAAAAATAAATTATATTAGCCTCAGTTCCTGTATCTCACCTGATGATACCAGCTAAACCTGGTGAAACGTTGTGGATAAAATATACAAAGGTTTTACTTCGTACAACCAATAAAAAACTTGTGTGAATTAAAAAAAAACATAGTTCGTTCTCATATTTAATTAATAAATTTATAAAGTTTATTTATAATTCTAACCTCGCTTCCCGATATTTATAATGAAAATAATAAAATCATAAATAAGAAACTATCAAACAAAACGGTAGTTTTGTGGCCAAAATAAATAATGGAAAGATAAAGAAAACTATTGTAATCTAATTTTTGTTTAGACAGTTTATTCGGTATTCATAAAATATGCATACTTGCTACTTTTCTCCAGAATTAAAGCTCCCCCCCCCCAGTGGCACAGCGGTATGTCTGTGGACTTACTGCGCCAGAAACCGGGTTTCGATGCTCGTGGTGGGCAGAGCACAGATAGCCCATCGTGTAGCTTTGTGCTTAACTTCAAACAAAACAAATCTGTATTAAAAATGCGAATGTTTTGATTTATCTTGAATATGATTAACCTCTAGAATAAAGCTACATAATTATTTACTTTTGATGGTAGAGCCACGTAAGATTTTTCGGTAGCCCCAATCTTTGTCCAACAGCAAATTAACAAAAGGGTGGTGTGTCTATTTTTTTTATTAGTAGTATGAATTGGAAGAGAAAAGTTCAGTGTGCTCTCTTTTGCAAAAGTTAATTCTTAAAGATATATCTGCTTTAAAATTACTTTCAAAATAACCTGCATTTCCCTGTTATTATCAAACGTTGGATTTAGCGTTGGTAATGCGATAACTTACCGGCTATTGGATATTTACTTTATCTCTTCCAAAATTTACGATATGTATTAATCCTAACGATAAATCAATGGATGAAGTCTGCGTCTCCTTAGCTGAGGTAATTACATGTTTCTTTTTAGTAACATCAGTGATGGATGAGAAACGACAAGTAGCGTCGATTAATAAAAATGGAAAATATCCTCTTCCCTTTGACAGTCATTCTAGTTTCTAGAGTTCATTTCTCTCATCTCATCTAGAAATGAGTGTGAAATCCGGTGTCACTCGTTGTCATCTTTACAGGTAGTTTCCTTGATAATGTGTAATATAAGCAATATTCTGATCTGCATATCAGTTTTCTGTGGGAATTATTTTCCTTTAAAGGTCTAGTTAAATAACAATTATTACACTGTAAGTATTTTGGCTTGATGTAACACACACACACACACACAACTTTCTGAAATCCATCCGAAAACGCTTAAGAAAGAGAGAAAGAGAAAAAAGTCAAAAATATGCTCTAGTTTAAAATGTAAGAGGTATCTTATAAACACAGCAAATTAAAACAACTTGGCATTACACACCTTGCATCAAATCACCCATCACAGAGTTACAATGAACACAATTTTATAGTAAATATAGTACGAATTACCATTAGTGCTGCCCCCAGTGGCACAACGGTGTGTCTGCGGACTTACAACGCTAGAAACCGGGTTTCGATACCCGTGGTGGGCAGAGCACAGATAGCTTTGTGCTCAACTACAAACAAACAAACCATTAGAGCTTGCATCTTGCGGAGAAATAAGCATGTTGCCTTGAAAACAGTAGTTAAATGTTTTCGTCTTGATAGAGTTCATACCTTACTGGTATCTAGTCCATACAGAAATCACACTTAACACGCAATTCGGTGCTTTATTTACATGGATTAATACTTTATTGGCATCCAGTCTGTACAAAGATGTCATTTTTCTCGCGGTTTAGTAGCATCAGCATGTTAGCATGATACTAAAGCATAGTTTACTTTATCATAATCTGAAATGCTCTGAACCTCTTAGTAAATGTTTCACGGCATTCTCCGTGCAATTTTTGAAATGTTATATCATCACCGGTAGGAAGATAGTTGTTGCAGTCGCTTAAGTGAACATAGACAACATGGCAACAAACTTTCATTTGTCACATAATCAGATACCGCCCGTTGTTCTCTTTCCACCTAGTTATATCTTCTGGGAGAGGCTTTGTTCTCGTGTGGCACTTTTACAAACCTAAATCTATGTAATCTACCGAATTTTCCAGCTCCGAGATATGTTCCTATTTAAGTCGATGTGTTCTGAGATTATTTAAGATGACAGGTGTTCAAACTTTCTGTAATACCCTTAGAATTAGTCGGTAATGGAGTAGACGGTTTTTACTCTACTGTAATCACACCTTCCCTTACTTTACCAATACGTTCAGCACTAAAAATACCCACTTCGTCAAGACGATGAAATCGTTTACTCTATATGATTGCATAACTCTCACAGAAAGGTTATATTTTAAGCGCCACCTGCACTTTGAAATCACTACTCTTTAGCTGAATTAAGACAATTTAGTGACACTCCACCGGGATGATCAGCGCTAAGTAGATTAGATATGCAAGTTGTTGCTGCAGATCGTGAACAAAAATTTGTATTTTCCAACACACAGAACTTTACTTGTTATATGTTTCATACAAACTAACGTCTAATTGAAATATAAAGAAAAGCTCAGTGCATGTCCTGAATAGTGCCTCAGAACTATTAATTACAAATTCCTGCTAGTGATGATTTGTAGGAAAGAGCCGTATTCATCCCCAAAACACCTTCGAAAGTTCACCAGGAGAGGTAGATGGAAATTTTACATATTATTATTCTTAAATACCAAGGTATATTATGATTACATTATGTAAAAATGTAAAACATGTGAACTTAAAATAAAGGCACTTACACGGTACAACAGAAAGTTCTCATGTTGACAGATATTAGTGATGAAAACACAAGTTTTCAAAATAAATGTTTCTTTTTCTTTCCTCTGAAAGATATTGATAAATGTCTGTCATACTATAAAATATTTTTTGTGTGCATACTATGATGATCTAACTAGTTTCTTTTCTTTCATGATAGATACGTGTATATAAACACTAAAATGAACTATGTAAACTTCTCTCTTTCACCATACATACGTGTATATAAACACTGTAATGAACTGAGTAACTTCCTCTCTTTCACCATACATACCTGTATATAAACACTGTAATGAAATAGGTAACTTCCTCTCTTTCACTATACATACGTGAATATAAACACTGTAATGAACTGAGTAGATAAACATTGTAATGTACTGTGTAACTTCTTCTCTTTTACCATACATACGTATAAATAAACAATGTAATGAACTATGTAACTTCCTTTCTGTCATCATACTTACGTGTATATAAACACTGTAATGAACTATGTAACTTCCTCTCTTTCACCATGAATACCTGTATATAAACACTGTAATGAAATAGGTAAATTCCTCTCTTTCACTATACATACGTGAAAATAAACACTGTAATGAATTGAGTATATAAACTCTATAATGAACTATGTAACTGTCCTCTTTCACCATACATACGTGTATATAAACATATTAATGAACTATGTAACTGTCTCTCTTTCACGATACCTACGTGTATATAAACACTGTAATGAACTATCTAATTTCGTCTCTTTTACCATACATACGTGAATATAAACACTGTAATGAACTGAGTATATAAACTCTATAATGAACTATGTAACTTTTCCTTTTTCACCATTCATACGTGATATAAACATATTAATGATCTCTGTAACTTCCTCTCTTTCACCATACATACGAGAATATATAAACACTGTAATGAACTATGTAACATCCCCTCCTTCACTGTACTTAATTGTATATAAACACTCTAATGAACTGTGTAAGTTTCTCTCTTTCACAATACATACGTGTATATAAACAAGGTAATGAACTGTGTAACTTCTTCTCTTTTACCATACATACGTGTATATAAACACTGTAATGAACTATGTAAATTCTTCTCTTTCACCATATTTATA